AATTTTTAAAGTCATTTAACACTCAAAAATTGTAAAAATAGTATAGTGTTCCTGTGTACCCTTCACTCAGCTCCCCCCAAAATAATGTCACACGTAACCATAATACAGTGTCAAAATTGAGAAATTAACGTGATATTGTACTATTCACTTGACTACAGCACTTGTTCAGATTTCACTGGGTTGTACAATTCTTGTGTGTTGGGGCATGGGGAGTTGCCTCGACTTTTAAGGACTGTCTTTTCTTACCATCTCTGTGCCAAGGCCAGGGAGTCTTAGCCTTTGCTGGGCAGGGGTGGAGCTACACGTGACTGCATCCCCAAGTACTCACATTCCTTTCATTTAAGGATATTGATCCCATATGGAAAAATAGACCATGTTTATTAATCACTCCAGAAAGTATGTGATTTCATTAGATGGAGCTCTGTCTCTGGGCATGGGCTCATAGGAGGGAACGGCTCCCCAGCGACCCAGAGCCGTACGTACGACACGCTCTGTGGAGACCACACTTTGGGGCCGGCTGCTCCAATTCACTGCTGGAATCCCGGGCAGGAAGGTGTAATGGCACGCCAAGGGCTGCTGAGCTGTCACAGCCCAAGCAGGGTTATTTGTGGCTTCCAAAGAGAGGCTGTAACCTTTTATGGTATCCACAAATCTCAGCCTTCAAGAGTCAGGGAGAAAATGCAACCATGCTGTTTGGCCAAACTAGCTCTTTCCCCACCCTGCCCTTCCCCCTCCCCATCATTCCACCCAAGCCTGAGTAGTCTGCATGGCTGTCCTAAAGGAAAGGACATGCCATCAGACACGAATGCTAGCACTACTTCAGGGCTGGCTGAAACGGCCAGGCCTACCTTCTGATTCAAAGAGAGAAAGGCCAGGAAAGTTGTTGACAAAATGGAAACTTTCTAATTTGAGGCCCTAAACATTCTACGTTCTTTACATGCAATGCAGAAAAGTCTTACTTCTTGGCTGGGGCATTTTTTTTTTTTTTTAATTGCAGCTGTAGGCCAAGGACAGTCATGTCCATATCTGCCCTCCCTGGTCATCCTTCAGGCCTGTCAGATGCCAGAGCCCAACAATATCTCTGCTGTGCTTTGCAGGCACAGGGCTTCCTGTGCTCACTTTTGACATCAAGGCACTGCTTAAATTATCTTCTCTCTGGCAACTTCCTTGATCTACTTGTACATTCGTTCACTTTTTCCATTCACTAAGAGTCACATTAGCGAAACAGTAACAAGCGAGGGCTCTTGAGTCAGGCAGACTTGGGTTTCAGTACCTCCTCTAACACATACCGGCAGTGTGGCCTTGATCTTAGGCCAGTGTTAGAGGCTGATTTGTGTCCCCCAAATCCACATGTTGTAGCTCTAACTTCTAGTACCTCAGAATGTGACCTTGTTTGGATACAGGGTCTTTAAAGAGGTAATCCAGGTAAAATGAGATCATTCCTGTAGGCCCTAATCAATGTGACTGTTATCCTTATAAAAGAGGAAATTTCGACATAGGCCTACTTAGGGTGAACCTCATATGACATGGAGGCAGGGATTGGAGTACATTTTACAAGCCAAGGAATGCCAAAGATGGCCCCCGAGTCACTAGAAGCTAGGGGCAAAGCCCAGGACAGACCCTTCCCTTGCCACCTGTGAGTGGGACCAGCCCTCCTGACACCTTGATCTTGGACTTCTAGCCTCCAGGTCTGTGAGAAAACAAATTTCTATTGTTTAAGCCACTTAGTTTGTAGTGCATAGTTAGAGAAGCCCAGCAAACAGTATAGCTAGTTACTCAATTCTCTGAAATTCAATTTTCTTATCCCTAAAATGCAAATGATGACTTTAGCAGTGATATCAAAATGTGGTCCCTGTACCAGCAAGATCAGCATCTTGTTACAAATGCACATTCTCAGTCTCCCAGCCCAGATCCACTGAATCAGAGATCTGGGGAGTGGGGCTCAGAAATCTGTGTCTGAACACGAGAATTCCAGATGATTCTGGTGCATGCTCACAGGTGAGAATTTAGAGTAATGTGGAAAGAGTTCTATCAGATAATACTTGTACATGTCAAGTTCTTAGTACAATGCCTGACATAGGGTAAATACCTAATATATGATAAACCACAATAAGATATTTTCAAACATTTTAGAACACTTAAGGTATCCTACTTATTGGAAGTATAAAGACATACAAATTATAGTTGTTCAATAAGCTGTCAGAACCCATAACCATTGGAAAAGCAGGTATGCTATGATTAATAATAATGCTCTTTATTGTTTAACACATGCTATGGGAACAGAGTAGACACAATGGGGAAGTGGGAAGTGGGAAGCCAAGGTAAATGTTATTGATAGGTAGATAAATGATAGATTGATAGCTATACAGGTAGATAGGGATATGTAATCAAGTATAGGAGGCAGCATCTACAAAATGTGATTTCTTTTTATTAAAATAATGTTTGCATCACAACTCATTTTGTCTTTTAACTTACATTATCTAGATTAATTCACACAACAGATTTGTGGGCTAAGACACTATTAGGGGAATAATAATAGTACCTATCTATTAGGGGAATAGTATTAGTACCTGACGTATTACTCTTGGGGAGATTAAATAATACCACACATGGGATGTGTTTAGAACAGGGGTAGGGGGATCATTAGATCTCACTAAATTTTAGCTGATGTTATTATCGTTATTATGACATTGTTGTCATTGTTCAAACATAGAGTGAAGGTTCAGAAAGGCAACATAACTTGTTGGAGGGGCATCACTGGTTAAGCAATGAGCCTTGTTTCCAGCCTTCAGTAAATAGACCCCATTGCTGGCATTTCCAACGTGTCCTGCCTTCCTGCCCATGAGATGTTGTAAGTTTAGCCCCTGCCACAGCTACTGTGATTGCCCCACTAGAATGTCTGCTCCTGTGACATGCGGCCCCTTTCACACAGCTACGCTAGGATATCCCACTAGGATGTCCCAACAACTTCCATGCTCAGTGGTTGTGTGTTCTGATGTCTAGTTTATGAGACAACAGAAGGTCCAGCCCTGGGATTATGATTTTTGCATGGGTAGCCAGAGTGGCAGTTGTTTGAATGAAAGAGCTTGTATTAAAGCTACGCGTGTCCAGGACCCGAAGGACCGTTTTGCACTTTCCCTTTCAGTTTTGGGCTGATCATCAGTCTTCAGGCCAGAGTCTCTGTGCAGGCGCCGGCTTTTATTTCAGTCCCTAAGGTCTGTGAAGGAGGGACAGAGAACTTTCTGGCCAGGAGATCTGGAGTGCATGAGCTCTGAAATGAGACATGGCGTACCTGGAAGAAACTGGCTTGGGAATTATGCAAACTTCATCCTCCGTGAACCTCTAATTTGAAATAATTAAAGGCCTCACATTCAAGGCCTTCTGAGCTCTGACAGCAGTTTCTCACTCCAGCATCATCTCCTGCTGTTCCATAACTCCAGGTGTTAGGTGTGGGCTGGGGCAGGTGTGCTTGTCCAAGAAAGAGGCCTCTTTAAGTATTATCCCAACCATCCCAGTGAACACCTCTGCATCCTCCCCAGAAATACTGCAGGATGGAGTAGTACAGACTTAATGAAGTCTCTTAATGAATTTTTACTGTTTTTCTTTCCCCCTTCTCTCTACTTGTCTAACTGATTTTTTTCCAACTTTCGGTGCCCATTGCTTGAATGCCCTTTCATGTCCCCTCCCCAGCTGCTCCTGACCTCATGGTCGGGAATAATATGCATTTACTGATATCCTACCCTTCCTGCAGCATGTGTTCTGTAGCAGGGCTTGGAGGCACATGGTCAGGACACCAGCCTGAGAATGAAGGAATGGAAACTGGTGCCCTCTGTGCTTTGAGAATGGATACCAACATCCTTCCAGCCATGGGAGGCTCAGATGCAATCAAATGGATCAGTTGTCCACAACCACCCCTACATACATCCAGTTATGCACACAAAATTTCATACCACGCATTTATTGAGTTGTTACTTACTGAGTTTATATTGCTGCTGCATTCAGTCAATTCATTGTAGATAAACAACAGCTGAAGAGGCCTTGTTCCCTGCCAGTCACACCTCCTTCAACCCATACTTAATGCCTGGAGCTAATACTGGATTGAGGCTGGGGTCAAACATCAGAAGGCCAGCGAGCAAACCTGACTTGACTCCTACCTTATGGATTTTCACCTTGAGGAATGCCATTCTAGGATCCCAAGTCTTTGAAGAATCTTTTTGTTAAGTTAGAACTCCCTTCTCTTGTGAATATGTCCACAATGCTTTTAATGACCAGGAGTTTCTTTTCTGGTTTTCCTTTGACACAACAGGGAGGCAAGAAGTTCAATGGAAACAGAGAATGAATCAGAAGACATGAGTAGCAATCCAGATTCCTCCCAAACCAATTGGGTGACCTTGACCATATACAATCTATTCCCTATGGAATAAATGCTCCAAGCAAGATATTGAGTTATTTGGGGGAACCTGTTCATGATTGAATGGCATCTTGAGCCATAAAGGGGTATAGAAACCTAGCATTTATTCTTACCATTTTGGGGTCTTTGGCCCTATAGTTACCATAATGTTGGCTACTGTTACAGATATATGTATATTTTCTGCCCATATCAAGTTCAAGTGGTGAAGATGTCAGTGTTTAGTTACTAAGCATCCCAGGCTGCCATAGGTTTTGCAACATTTAGGATGTGGATTTCAAGGGTACCCTGTGCGTGTATATCCACCCACCAGAGGAAGGAAGAGAATGAAGGATCTCATAGGAGTTTTATAGGCTAGGCTGAAAGAGGTATACAACATTTGCCCAAATTTCATTGACCAGAACTCAATCCCATGGAAGCACCTAACTGTTAGGGAGGTTGGGGGTATAATCTATCCATGTGATTAAGAAGAAAAGGAACTAGATTTTAGGGATTATTGGCAGCCTTTGCCATAGATCTCATTGAGAAAGTAAAGAAAAATTTGGACCCTAACCCCTCCCCACCAAATATACAAACACCAAGACATAAAAAGTGATGATAATTTTTTGGAGTTTAATATAATCCTTGAAGCCACAGTACCTAGAATAAAAAACCACAGACATTCCATTTCCTTAGAGAAAGGGATTGGATAATAAATGGTAGGAACTTACCAACGTCATTTGGAAGCCCTTTTAGCCATACACAGTGCTTGGTTGCAGACTTTGAGAGTTCATTTTTGGGAAGATGAGAGAGGGAATTGCTATTGGCATCAGCTACATATGGCTGTCACCTGCTCGACCTCTCCAGGTCTGGCCCAGGGATATCATTTTACAGAAACATTTGGCACATTTCCTTTACAAACCAATCATCAGAACAACCTATAATGTGGAGGAAGGAAAACCAAATAGAAAATAGCATGAGAGGAAGTATTCTATTTCCCCATGACATTTTATGTCTTCCTATCCCACAACTTAGCCAGTGACTGGAGAGGTTATCATTGGGCCTGGGATTCATGCAAGGAGTCCAAGAGCATCTACCCTCAGTTCTACGCTAATGGCTTGTCAAACTTCGACCTATGATTTTTGTCTTCCTACTGGGTTAGCAGACTGGGCATGAAGCAGACCAAATGGGAAGTTAGAGATAGGGGGTTCAGTCAGGGCCCTTTGAGTAAAAGGTAATGTGCAATAATCTCCTTAAAACAGATTTGAAGTCTTATTACAGCAACAGAGCATGGTGTAGTATACAAAGCATGAACTTTGGAGCAAGGGAAATTAAATTTGAATTCCAACTCTGTCACTTCAAATTTCAAAGTCTCTGTTTAGCATCTGTTAAAACAGGAGAAATGGCATTTACTCCTCAGCATTGCTGTGAAGATTAAATCAGATAACTTCCCTAAAGCACACAATTCCTGATCCACAGTGGGCACCTGGTAAGTGCCAAAGGTAAAGAGCTGTCTTCAGAGAGGAAAAAAGTACTCAAAGCAATTTCTTTAGTGAGTACAAATGCAAAATCCTGTGAGCACAAAGACAATTGCTAACTAGTAACCAACAGAAATCTTTGAGCAATATTGTGATTATATTTCTTGAATCCATTGTCAAGAATGGGATGATATGTGAATTTTGTCTGTAATAGTCTATATTTGCATGCAGATTTAAATGATCAAAAACCAAGACCAAGCTGGGGTTAGGGCCTATTACTCTCCCTCACTCTCCAAATCTGGGAGTGAGAAGGCTGAAGCTGGGATTGTTGAATCTATAAACTTCATCAACTACTTACTATGAGTTTCAGGAATTCCTCAGCCTTTGGGATGGAAAGCAAGCTCCTTTCGGAGAAAGACATGTCAGGACAGGAACTTATGTTCAGTCATCCTCTGTTCAAAATAATTATTCTCAGATCAAGTAAGGATGTACAGGAGATTTCATGAGCCTCTTAGATGATGTGTCCTGCAGACATTAACTTGTACCTTTTTAACTCAGTCCCCTCATTCTGGGATTAAAGAGAGACAGAGTAAGGGATTATAATTTTAGGTTTTTCATTCCTGTATCTGCCATTCTGTGCACAACATATACTCACGCAGTTCTCATCCAGGAAAAGAAAAACTAAGTGGTTCTGTCTTTTGGTATGCTATAATTTGTAGGTATTCTGCTTCTCATTTTACAAATGGAGAGAAGGCCATCTACATAGAATGCTATAGAGATTTAGAAAAGCGTGTTTAATCTGGGGATAAGAGAAAGAAAAATGCTTAAGTGAAAAAAAAGTTGTATTTTTTGATTAGCAGCTATCTGAAAAAAAATGTTGTATTTTTTGATTAGCAGCTATCTGAAAAAAAAAAGTTGTATGCTTTGATTAGCAGCTATCTGCTCCTCACTGCAATTCAATGAGCTGGGCATAGCCTGGTTCTTAGAATTCAGGGACCTTATCATCACTTTCATAGATAATTATCTGGTAACTTGGAATGGATCACGTGAGTACCACCAAGTAAAGAGCAGCATCTGGACTTCCATGGCAACGGTGAGCAGACTAAGGAAGAGAAATTCCTTCTCTTCAGTCAAAGAATAGGGTGCCCCAAAGAATAGGGTGAAAGGCAGGTGCACATGTTAATTATAGATTCCTCCAACAAGAAACAGAGATGGAAACTTGGGTGCATGTTGTTTATTTGGAAGGAGATTCTAAAGTTCACAGGTATGGAAGTGAAAGAAACAAGGCAAGGTAGGTAGAAAAGTCAATAAAAATTCCTTGTTGTAGATCCTCTGGAAAACTAAAAAGAATATATCTCAGAATTATTCCACCAGACAGCTGCCTCCCACCTCCCATGGACTGAGGGTTGCTTTGGGATGTTAATTCTCCCACTCTCACATTCCACCACACGTTTCTGCATTGAGCCTGAGCATGGCAAAGCAAATTCCTTTGGCTTGGAGAAAGACCTCAGCCAGAGAAGATGAAAGGTGTCGGTACTTTGCATGTGAGGCTGGGAACTCTGGTGGGCTGAAGGCAATGAAAACTGGGCATGGACAGCACCTAGTAATATTGCAACAAAATTAAATTGCAAAGAGTTTACGTTATTTAAATCTTTACCTAATCCAAACCTTTACAACTACTAAGAAGCAGAGCTGACATTGAAACATAGGTCGCTTGAGCTTCAAATCACTTGAAACTCAGAAAAAAACTATAGTTTGAAACACAGTTTAAGTTCAACACATCACACATTGCACTGTAAAAGTGTGCTATGACTCATTCCGCAAGACAGAAATCGAGATATCATTTCTGTTAAGCAAAAAGGGATTGAGAGAAAATGGAATGGGATAGAATTAAAATTGTAAGGAACAATTAAAATAATCACTGTAAGCCTTAACAAGTAGAACTGACAATGTGGAAAATTGAATTAGCTAAACAGAAGCTAAACCCTAGAAATTAATCAAGACATAAATAACAAGTAGAGAAATATAAACAATGTTAGAAAATTTGACATTGAGCGTGGAGTGTCAATATGTATGTAATAGAATCTCTTATAGATCATATGGGGAAGTGAAGTATCAATAAGATAGCAATAGAAAACCATGATCAGTTCTCCAAATATAATAACCATGTTCATAATAATAACTTATATCAACCCACTAAGAGCTAAATAACCAAAGACCTGTTTGAGGGATTTGGAAGCAGAAAAAAAGCTGCAAGGAATATTGAAAACCAAATTTCATAGCAGTAAATAAGAGTCCTTTATAAACTATTAATATAAAGTTTTGTGAGTTTTTCTTTTTTTTTCTGCATTGCACACAACCATAGACACAAAACTTGTGTTTTGAATACCATCTACTACATATTTTATAGTTATTGTTCTGGTAAGTAAGTCAGAAACCTGTAGAATTTCAGATATTTACATTTCCTTATAATCAAATCCATTATGAAACCATTCCCTCCACATGCATACTTACTGCTCCTATTCCTTTTAAATTTTTATACCTGAGAGCTGCCTTTGCTGACAATAAGGGAAAGTTTTATGGGCGGTCCTTCCCAGTGAGCAAACTTCCCACCTTTTTAGCCCACAACTCACACCCTGCAACTCTCTGCCACTCTAAATGTCTAACACTTCTCCAAAACTATAATTCACCAACATTTATCTTTGTATTTTTTAAAGTATTTTTTTAATTGGGGTAAACTTTACACATAGTAAAATTCATCCTCTTAAGTGCAGTTTATAACCATCACCAAAACAGAGATGTGGAAAAATTCCAACACCCTGAAAAATTTCCTCATGCGCCTTTCTCTTCCTTCCAACATCTCAATCAAGCCCATCACAACTACTAATCTGTTTTCTGTCCTGTTAGTTTTGAAATTCCAGGATTTTTTGTAGTTTTTGAATCTGACACTTTATTATGATGCATTTGAGGTTGACCCTGGTTGTTGCATGTATCAGTAGTTCATTCATTTTATTGCTGCATAGTATTCTATTTTATACATATACCATAGCTTGTTTATCCATTCACCCATTGAAGGATATTTGGGTTGTTTGTAGCTTTGGGTGATAATGAAGAAAGCCACTGTAAACATTTTGCAGACAGGTTTTTGCACAAACATATCTTTTTGCTTCAGTTGTGTAATTAAGATGGAGGTTATTGGATTATAGAATAAGAACAGAGTTTGATTTTATAAAATATTTTCTAAAATAAGTGTACCATTTTGCATTCTTATAATCAAAATTTAAGTTCTTATAATCAAATCTTATAATCAAATCTTGTAATCAAAATTTAAGTGATTTTGATTGGGATTGTATTGAATATATAGATCACTGAGGGAGGGGAAGGCTGGATGTGGTGGCTCACACCTATAATCCTAGCACTCTGGGAGGCTGAGGTGGGAGAATCACTTGAGGTCAGGAGTTCAAGACCAGTCTGAGCAAGAGTGAGACCCCATCTCCACTAAGAATAGAAAGAAATTAGCCAGACAACTAAAAATAAAAAATAAAAAACATTAGCCAGGCATGGTGGCACATTCCTGTAGTCCCAGCTACTCAGGAGGCTGAGGCAGAAGGATCACTGAGCCCAGGAGTATGAGGTTGCTGTGAGCTAGGCTGAGACAATAGCACTCTAGCCCAGGCAACAAAGCCAGACTCTGTCTCACAAATAAATAAATAGATATGCACTTTCAAGTTATAATAACGTTTAGAAGATGCACACAAAAAGAGTAATTCTAGGGAGATCAATTGAGTAGGGTGAAGACTTTCACTCTTATTTACATATTTTTCTAGAATCTGTATGTTTAATAATGGAAAGCATGCATACTTACACAGTTAAAAACAGAATGAATATGACTTTGAAGATCTATATGTTAAACATGACAAATCATGCCATTTACATTTCTTATCCTTCATTGGCTCAAAAGTTTACTTTTGTTTATTTTTTATTTCAGCATATTATTGCCCATGCCACTCCTCCCTCTTGAGTCAGAGCTGCAAGCGTAACCATCCCCCAAAGGTTGCACATCTCACTCATTGTGTTTGTATATACCCATCCCCTTGTCCCTTTGTCCACCTGTCCAACACCCTGTAATTCCTGTATGTCCACTTAGGTGTTGATCTGTTAGTACCAATTTGCTGGTGAGTACATGTGGTGCTTGTTTTTCCATTCTTGAGATACTTCACTTAGTAGAATGGGTTCCAGCTCTATCCCAGAAAATAAAAAAGGTGCTATATCACCATTGTTTCTTAAAGCTGAGTAGTACTCCATGGTATACATATACCACATTTTATTAATCCACTCATGAATTGATGGACACTTGGGTTGTTTCCACAACTTTGCAATTGTGAATTGTGCTGCTATAAACATTCGAGTGCAGGTAACTTTCTTGTAGAGTATCATTTGATCTTTTGGGTAGATGCCCAGTAGATATTGGCTTATTTTGGGTACAATTTAAAAATATCCTGTTGTATTTTACATGAAGCAAATATCCTCTATGAAGCAAAATTTACATTGTCAAGCAACTTATTTTGATTTTTTGTCAATTTGAATCCTTCGGAGTATGTGGCAGGGATAATTAGAAACTTATAATCGTGGGGCAGCCCCCTCTGTTGTTTGTGCCTGCATTTACACTCAAACGATTCTAAAAAAAGATTTAGATATATACACCTATACACATACATATTTGTATCTATGTACATATGTAATAAGATAAAGGCAGTAAAATGTTAATAACTTGGACAATCTGAATATAAATATATACAGAAATTTTTTGTACTACTTTTGGAACTGTTCTGTAAGTTTGGTATTACTTCAAGATAAAAAAAAATTAAAGCATTAACAAAAAAATTTTACAGAGTTAACAAGGAAAAATTATAATAAAAATGGTTGAACACCTACAATCTGCTGCAGTGCATTGGCTTATTTAATCTGACATTGACCGCACAGAGCAGACATTATCGTTCCAGTTTTACAGAAGAGGAAACAGTCTCAGAGTGGTTAGTGACTTTCTCTAGGTCACACAGCTTGTAGGCAACAAAAGCGGGAGTTGAACCCAGGTCAAGCTGGCTTACCAATCTATGTTCTCCACCTTTTGAGAGATGGAGAAATGAGCAAGTAATTATAATAGATGACAATTACACAGGGTGGCAATTACGGCGACTGGCTCTGGAGGGAGCCCAGAGTACCTGGAAGACTCTCCCTGGTCCAAGTGACATTTGAGCTGGACCTTGAAGCATGTATAGGAGCTCTCCACTTATGGAAAGAAGTTCTCCAGTTGGGAGAAATAGCATGGTCAAGGCCACAGAAGCTTGAAATGATAGGTACCTGGAGGTTTTTTTTCCTAGGCCTCACCAACCTGTGGGTAGAATCATGGTCATGTTAAGTGTCACTGTTTTTTTTGTCATTGCCTGCAAATACCCTCATGTCTCTCCAGGAGTCCTGGCATTTCATAGTCATCTCTGTCACTTAACCCAACAGAAAGTGCCTCCTTCCCTCATTTTAGAGCCCTCAACATCCCTTTGCTACTTCTCAGCTGTGTGGCCTTGGGTAAGTTATGTAATTTCTCTGAGCCTCAATTTTCTCATCTGTGAAATGAAGCCAATGACACATTCAAGGTTGGGTGAGGGTTAAAAGAAAATGTCAGTCAAGAATTTGGTTTGGTTTCTGCTGTGGATTAAGCCCTTCAAAGATGGTGTCCGTTCTTACGGATGAGGATCCTATAGCCCAGAGAGGAACAAAGACTGGTCCAAGTTCACATCACCAAGTACAGGCAAAACAGTTTACACCCAGCCAGGTTCATTGCCTGCTGCTCAAGAGGAAGCAATACGCTGAGACAGCAGGCTTACAGCGGAGAGTTTAATCTCACAGGTGCCACGCAAGGAGACAGAAGGACTTTCTCAAATCTGCCTCCCTGAGAATTTTTGGGCCAGGGTTTTTAAAGATAGTTTGGCAAACAAAGGGCTAGGGAATTGGGTCTGCTGACTGGCTGGGGATGGACTCCTAAGGTCGGGAAGCAGAAATCGTCTTCTTGTGCTGAGTCAGTTCCCAGGTAGCAAGACCATTTGAGTTGGTGCCTGGTATGGGCCACTGGTCTGGCTGGGTCACTTAGTCCACCAGAACACGGGGCCTGGAGGATATCTCAAAGACCAGGCTTAGGTCTCACAAGGGCGGGGTTATCTATGGAGCAATGAAGGAAGCTCGCATCTTCGTGACCATCAGCTATGTGACTCCTGAGTAGTGAGCAGGCTCAGGAAAGCAAGCGAGGGACCATGGCTGGTTGCATACCTGCTTTAACTGTGCCTGTCCCTTTGCAGGGCTCAGGCCCCTACCACGGTGCTCACCTTACGGCCCTTTATTAATTTTATAAAAGGCAGCTTCAAAACCAGGGCTCAACCCCAGGCTCTGCTCCTCGCCGACCTCTGGCTAATCCCAGCCTGTCCTTGTTCCCAGACTCTTCTCGCCACAGGGCAGGGCCAGAGCAGCTCTTGGCCAGCAGAAGTTCTCTTTGGGACGAGCTCTCAGCTTCTTGGGGCTGGGCTGAGCACACACCGGTTTCCTAACGTGGCTGAGGGCAATAGTTCTCTGAGTGTCGGAGGCCACTGGGTATTTGGTAACTGCCAACTGCCCTTGGCAACTGCCAACTGCCACCTGCCAACTGCCAACTGCCCTTCTTCCTGTGTTGCTTTTCTTCCTGTGGTGGCTGTCCCCCAGGTGGGAGGAGGCCAAGCCTGCCTAGAGCCAACATTGGGACACAGGCAAAGCTCTTGTGTTTGTTCTTCTGTTTCAGAGAAAAAGGCAGAGAGATGCCCTCCCTCCCACCACCCCTAGGAGCGCACTCTGCTTTCTGTTTTCCTTTCCCTCAGCCTGCAGCTCATCCAGAAACTGCCTTTTGGGCACAACTGAGTCTTTTGGTCTCAGAAGCCACCCTCCTTTGATCAGCCCCAGGTGCTGAGTGGGCCACCTCCCCCTGGAAGCCCTGGGGGACTGCCAGGCCAGGCTGAGCTTGTCCTACTTCAGTCTCCAAACACTCAAGGTCTGGAACTTATGCTCTGGGTTCTACTCCTCTTCCATCTATTCACTGTTGGATATATCTTGCATATCCAATAATAATAATAATAATAGCCACCTGCCCACACCCTACTCCCCTTGGAGGCTAGCATCCTTCCAGACCAGATTACCCAAGGGAGCCCTTTTATGAGTCTGGAAGTTGGGAAGAAGGCAGACACTCTTTTTAGCACAACGAGGCAGAGCGGACACCCTCTCCAGAGTTTATGCCGTGGTGAGAATGTCTGATCGTCTTTCAGATTCTGCACCTCGAGGCCAGATCTCCCCTCCCTTTCCCCGTCCAGGATCTACCAGGAGCCCCTCGGAGCACAGGATCAAAGAAGGGCAACACACAGTGGACACCGGATGCTCCAGGGAAGCGGGAGCCTGGTGGGGGAGGGCGGGAAGGGCTGAAGGATGAAGGGGCCGAGGGGGAGGGAGAGGATTCCAGGGCCCCCGCTGACCACAGGGGTGGTCCCGGGTTAAACCTGAGCATGTGGATCTAAGGAAAATCTGTGCCCAAGGAGGGAGGGTGGGGACAATGAGGAAACTGAGATTCAGCAAGGTTAAGCAACAAGCCCACTGGCACACAGCCAGTAAGTGGCAGAGCTGGGCTTGCAGCCCAGGTGTGTGAAGCTCAAGGCCACACCCGAGCTTTCTTGCTGTGCTGCCAGGGGCTCGCTGAAGGCAGGGAGTGGCGGTTTGTTCCACAGCATCTGGCCAAGTGGAAGCTCAGAGAGGCAAAGGGAACCGTGGATTCTTCTCTCTTTGCAGGTACCCAGCCCAAACCCAGAGGCCAGAGGAGCAAGAGCTCAGTCTGCGGTGCCTGTCATGTGCTCCTGGAAGCTCCAGGGCTCTCCAGCCAGCTAGTGATGACGGGTGAATCGTGACTGTTTCCTGAGCATCCTGTGCAAATCGATTCATTTCATCCTCAGAACACCCCCAAGACAGGCACTGTTTCCCCGTCTTAACTTGACCAGACTCACGCAGAGGAGGTAGCGTGGCTAGGCTCCTAAACGCAGGTCTGCCTGACTCTAAACCCAATCAACTTTCTTCTGGAAAAAAGTCAACAGCCTAAGGATAGAAGAGCATGGAAATGGACAGAACCAGCCCCTGAATTAACCATGTCTTGTCCACTCCATCTGTGAATTCATACTGAGTTAACATATTTTCCTTGTGATTTAAGCCATGTGGAATTGGGATGGCAGGGGAGTTTCGGGGATGATAGAAGTCTTATGTATTCTTATTGTGGTCTTCTATATCCTGATCATGGTTACACATATCTATGTAGCAAAACTCATAAAACTCAAAGAAATTATATGAAACAAATATGGCATAATGTTAAGGTTTTATAAACCTAGGTAATCTATTGTCTATATGTTTGAAATATTTTATAACAATTTTAGGGGGAAAAAGTGGAAGCAGGAGGAGGAAGAAGAGGAGAATACTAGGATGAAGCCTGTTTAGATGTGATGGCTGGAGCTGCCGCAGCCACCTTGCAACCATGAAAGAAGTCAGTGTGAAGGCAAATCTGAGACACTGGGATGGCAGAGCAGAGAGATGAAAAGATTATCCTGTAGATGTCTGTTAGCCACTGAATCTACCAGAATCTCAAACCTGTCTTCCCTCTGGACTTCCTGAGATGATAAATTTGTTTATTGTTGAAGTGAACATGAGTTGGGGGTTTCTGGCACTTGGCTGAAGACACTGTCACCAATACAGGGTAGAGGGTCAGATCTGAAGCAGTGGGGCACTTCCATGGCCAGCGGCAGTGCTGAAAAGGAGGCTGGAGTCACCAGTGGGCTCATCTGGATTTGGCTTGGCAAGAGCCATCAACGGAAGGAGATGGCTTGTTCAGAAACTCACCAGCTGGTTTTGAGATTCCAGGTTTACAGCAATGTTAAGTCATTGTCATGTGATTTCATCCTAATGCTCCTTTCCTAACTGACACCCTCACAGACGTGACATCTGCCTGGGCCTAGGAGGACTCAGGAACTCTGGACAGTTAAGAGCTGGAGGTGTTCAAAAATGTGCAAGATAATTTCTCAAAAATCTAATTTTACAAGAAGTCATCAATCTGCATTGGCTGCTACTTAGAGCTGTCCTGCGTGTACAGATGCGGTCATCTGAGTCTGGGGGTGCCGGCTCCTTGAAGGAAGGTAGAGCTAGGATGATGGTCTGGGGTGACAAGACTTCCTGGCAACTGCCCAGGTATGGGAAAAGTCTTCTCTCCATAAAAGTCACAATGACCATGACAGTGACGGTGATTGCTCTGTGACTCAGTTTGCTCATCTCCAAGACAGGGAAGAACCATCCCTCCCTCTTGTGTTTAGGCACGGAAATAACGCATGTAATGCATCTGGCACGTAGTAGGAGCTCTGTATACTGTTTTCATTCTTAAGCAAGCCAGAAGGATTCCAGTTGGGAGCAGAAAGGGAGACCCTTTCAGAACCAAGTGAAAAGACAAAGAAAAAAACCCCTCAGAAGGTCCCATGTCCCCCAGGCTCGGCGGGCTTCATTAGACTTTCATAAAATCAGAGTCGCAGAGACAAGGCTCCAGGGGGCTGATGGGGACCCAGCGGGAGAGGAGCCGCTGCCCCTCTGCAGCCCCGCCCCTCCTCTCATCACCATGGCGACCAGCAGGCTGCCAGGCTGGGGTTCCCGCCGGGCCTGGGCGCGAGGCTGCTGCAGAGGGAGGGTCTGGAAAGCTGGAAAGCGGGGCTGGGGTTTGGGACGACTGGAGCCCGTGTGGGATGGTCCTGTGGGGCTGTCGTGACCCGGCTCTGCTAGCAAGCCGCTGGCTGGGTGACTGGGAAGAGCACACCCCCTGAAGAACCCAGTAAGGATGTTTTATTTTATCTGAGCAGATGATTACTACGACGCCGTGTGTGTACAGAGGAAGTGTCTTCCAGAAAACTGTGGGCGACCTCTCCGGAGAGCGAGAGCCCTGGGTTTAGCCCAGTTCTTCGGAGGCGACGACGGCCAGCGCGGGCCCCACGGCGCTGCGCCGCTTGATGAGGTAGGCCTCGGCCAGGAAGATGGCGGCGCCCGCCAGCGACAGCACGGCCGTCGCCACCCCCACCGGGAACACGTAGGTGACGTGTTTCCTCACCAGCATGTCTTTCGTCACCGGAAACTGAACCGGGAAGTCCAGCGTGGTCTGGCCGTGGAAGTCCGCGGCGAAGTGGTTGATGACTGTCCCCGCGGTGCAGCACGAGCTGGCGAAAAGCAGAAAGGCAGAGATGCGGTAGTACAGTTGCAGGAAATCCGGGTACGGGGCTTCGATCCAGCTGACCACCGTGGCCGTGGTACTGAAAATCAGGACTAATAACTTGATAAAATTGGCCAGCAGTATCAGGGCCTGCCCGTACTTGATTTCGTCGGAAACGATCCATTGGTCGTTGATAACGGTGCGCATGGGCAGATCCACTAGCACGTTAGAGATGTTAACTCTTTGGAAATAAACAGCTTCCCAAAGTCCGATGAACACTATGGGGACGGTCTTGCTGTCAAATTCCCACACATGCCAGGACCTGCTGTTCGCGAGGAGAAGTCCAAAACACCAAGACAGATGACTGAAAAGAAGGGCGGTGAGTTTGCAGATCCAACGGTGGATTCCAGGCTGACTGAAGACGAGGCGGAGGGGGGTGACGTCGAGCCAGGAGCAGCGAAGAGAAGAAAAATGAACAGGTTCATGAGCCATGCTGGATAGAGCACTAAATAGTTACGTCTTGTTGTCCCTCTTATCTGAAAGTTGCATTTAAGTGTTCTATATACCAATCGGCCTTCAACAAGTGCTCTAAATGTTTTGCATTAGAATAAGAGGCCTGGAAATCTATGACTACGGTAGGAATATTAATTTGTAAGGCGTTTTTGAACCACAGTTTGACATTGCCTCTCAAAAACTGAAATGTTCATACTTCTTGTCCAGTAATTCTAATTCCAGGAATGAATACTAAGATATTTATAAGAGTTTGCAAAAATATATGTGAAGAGATGTGAGTTTCAGCACTGTTTGCAATAGAGAACAATTGAAACTTAATCTAAATGTGTACATGTAGAATAGTGCTTAAATTATAGTAGTAATATATCCAAGATTGTAGTGAAACATTATATGGTCATTACCAAGAAAGACTTACTCTATATGAACTGTCTGAAGAAACTTCTGTAGCATACCAAAAAAGCAAAATGAGTAATAATACATATGGTATGACCATTTGTGTCAAAATAAAATGAAATTTTCAGCTCCATCTAATAGGACCACAGTCGTATATGTGGCATTTCATTGACTGAAATGTTATATACAGTGCATGACTGTATACAAATAGATGTGTACCAGCTGGGTGCAGTGGCTCACGCCTGTAATCCTAGCACTCCGGGAGGTCGAGGTGGGAGGATTGCTTGAGCTCAGGAGTTCAAGACCAGCCTGAGCAAGAGTGAGACCCCATCTCTACTAAACATAGAAAAATTAGCCGGGCATGGTGGCTTATGCCTATAGTCCCAGCTACTTCAGAGGCTGAGGCAGGAGGATCACTTGAGCCCATGAGTTTGAAGTTGCTGTGAGCTAGGCTGACACCATGGCACTCTAGCCCAGGCAACAGAGTGAGACTTTGTCTCACAAATAAATAAATAAATAGATATGCACTTAACAATTTGTAATAAAGTTCAGAAGATGCACACAAAAAGAGTAATTCTAGGGAGATCAATTGAGTAGGGTGAAGACTTTCACTCTTATTCACGTATTTTTCTAGAATCTGTATGTTTATTAATGAAAAGCACACGTACTTTCACAGTTAAAAACAGAATGAGCATGACTTTGAAGATCTACATGTTAAACCTGACAAATCATGCCATGTACATTTCTTACCCTTCACTGGCTCAAAAGTTTACTTTTAGATATTTGGCTTCTTTGGGGTACAACTTAAAAATATCCTGTTGTATTTTACATGAAGCAAATATCCTCTATGAAGCAAAATTTATATTGTCAAGCAATTTATTTGGATCTCTTGTCAATTTGAATTCTTGGGAATGGAAGGGATAATCAGAAACTTATAATCCTGGGGCAGCCCCCTCTGTTGTTTATCGGAAAGGAATGAGGTAGGATCTACTCGATCACTGAATGTGTGCATAATGTAGGCAACTCTCCGTGCAGAAGACTTTAGGGGCCTCCAAACTATACCTCCTTGCTGTGAAACCCACTATTTCCAACACTGTATTCAATGTTCCACAATCTTCTGTGGAATACGCTTTCTGATTCCATGAAGGCGGCAGTTTTGCTAGTTGGGAAAGTACATTAGTAAAATGAGTTTGGAGTTTTGTCATTTTGAAGAATTCCCTATCCATGAGTACTTCCTTGCCAATGGAGGTCTGGGGGAATGGACCACAGAGTCAGTGAGCTTTCATGGAGAGAGGAAATGAGGAAGGGGAATGTTGTCATTTCCAGGAAAATGTGCCAGCCTGAGGAAGTTTGGGCACCATCCATGTCTCAGATTAGTGGGGATGGACCAGGAACAAGGGGGCACATATTTTCTCTGAAGACCAAATATGAAAGACTTTATAGATCTTGTTTAAAATATTTACCAATAAGCCATGTGGAAGAATTCACACATTCAGAAGACTGGAGGATGGCAAATATTCACCACAGTAGGACGTGGTGGACGAGGAAGGGAAATGTCCAGCCAGTGTTAGAAGAGCCACCTACAGTAAAAGAGGCATCATTAGGTAGAGTTTGGGGCTCTGAGCCAAGCCCAACATATCCCTGGCCCTCACAAAACACTTACTGTACACTTATCCTATGCTTCAGATAGGTCAGGCCTTGCTCTGAATACTTTATAAATATAAACACTTTCAGTCTCATGACAGCCTAGTGACAGATGGACGGTTATGAACCCCATTTTATAGATGAGGGAGCTAAGCCCAGAGAGGTTACGTGACGTACTCAAGGTAAATAACTTCCGCAGGCACAACTGCCAATGCTGAGCTCCAGAGTCCTGTCACACATGGAGCTTCCTGTCTGTCTCTCTTGTTACGAGATGGCATTTATTCACTCAAAAGAGTATCGGACAAATCCAGTATCAATTAAAATGGTGGCTGCCTCTGTGTCCTATAAAATTGGGAAAGTGAATCTTAAATGATAGCAGCATATGGGGAAAGATAAATTCACTTGCCACCCTGTATCCTTTATCTTGGTGTGACTAAAGACCTTTTAAAAGCCAACAGTTTTATCCAAAAAAAAATGACAAATGTTAGTGATGTGAAGAAGTTAGAATGCCTGTGCATTGTTGATGGGGATGCAAATGGTGCAGCCACTGGAGAGAATAGTACAGCAATTCCTCAAAAAATTAAACGTATGATTGCCATATGATCTCTGGGTAGGTACCTAAAAGAATTGAAAGCAGTGTCTTAAAGAGATATTTGCACCCCTATGTTCATAGTTATTATTTGCAGTAGTGAAAAGGTGGAAACAACCTTAGCATTTATTGATGGATGAATGGATATTCAGCTCAATAGAATATCACTCAGCCTTAAAAAGAAAACAATTCTCACACATGCTACAACACGGAGGAACCCTGAAGACATTATGCTGGGTAAATACATCAATCACCAAAAAACCAATGCTATATGATTTCACATACATGGGGGGCCCTGCAGGAGTCATGGAGACTCCATCATGGAGACAGAAAGTGGTTGCCAGGGGCTGGGGGAGAGGGGTGAGTTAATAGTGTTTCATGGGGACAGAGTTTCAGCTGGGGAGATGAAAAAGTTCTGGAGATGGATGGTGGTGGTGGTTGCCCAACAATGAAACTAAATGCTGCTGAACTGTACACTTAAAAATGATTAAGATGGTAAATTTTATGTTACATATACTTTAACCACAATAAAAAAAAGCATCGCAAACTAAGCGGATACTTTATAAAGAGCAAAGATGTGTTTGAAAGAAAGGACACCCTGTAGTTTGGTGACACCATCACATCTGTTTCTAAGTCACAAGGGAACCATTTACTTTCCCACACTCACACCCAATTGCAGGACTGTTTTCATGTAAGGGGAGATGTGACAATGAAGAAGACATTGCCCAATGCCACAGTTGCCGCTCATATTCAAAGCGACACCCAGATAGCCTCCGTTAAAAATGCCAACAGCACGGTATAGTAGATCATGCTGAAATGTGACTACGCTTGTATAAGTCAAAATATAGCCGTCCTGGACTGACCTCTTTTGTAGGACCATCCGATGACGTTGAACTTCTGCATATGGTGAGAGGATTAAACTAAAGTGAACTCCAGGAAATCTCAAGGATCTATTTAACTGGGGCAAAATAATAAGCCAGAGTGGTTTCCACCAACAAATTTAAAAGGCTGGAAGGAGGATTTCTTAGATGTACAACTGGTACGTCAGTAACTGCCAGTCAGTAACTGCCAGTCAGTAACTGCCAAGTTGTGGAGTAAAAAAAAAAAAAAAATTCCGATGTTTCCATGACTACCAGGGCTGGTTGGAGGACTCTTAATATTGGGCATGCTACAAGAAATCTACATATAAAGGACCAGCGTAGGCAAATACCCCTGGGAAGAGTTGAGGAGTCTTTCTAGAATAGAAATTTCTTTCCTGAGGTCCTGGATCAAATAGTCACTGTAATTTATGAGTCATAAATAGGAAAACTGTCGGGAGGCCCACAGTGGATAGAAAGATGTACCATGACAGTAGCCAGAGTCACCTGAATGCACCTTCCTTAAGTTTCCTTAGACAAAGAACCATGGCGAGATATTGGCAGTCTAAAAACCATAAGGCCCTCATCTGCGATTTTGTTTTGTTTTGGTTGCAAAGGTCAACTGTAACTGGATCCGTAAGCAACACAGTGCTTTCTCAATAATATTTTTAGTTCCCTCATATTTCAAATGAGTTTTCATTGTTCACATTATGACTGCCAGCCTCAGCCATACTAACCTTTGTGTTGGTAATCACCAAAAGAGAAGAAATATTTAACCTCCACACCCCCAACTATTAAATACAAATGCTGAATGGGAAAAGTAACACTCTGCATGGGTCAAAGGTGTAAGAAAGGATTAAATTTACCATACTCCCCAGCAATCCTACTCTGAGATATCTACCCAAGAGAAATGAAAACTTGCATTCATGCATAATTTCAAAGTCAAAATTATATAACCAAGTTTATATAGAAAAAAATCTGAAGAAACTTATGTTCCTATCCCCATTATATTCTCTCCCACCACAGATTTTTGGGTTATTTTCCAGTGTTTTCTTTTGTTCGCAAAGAAAACACTGGATGTTAAGGGTGTATATGTTCATATCCTTATTTATTCCATCTCTTACAGGATATTATCATAGTATATGTATTTTTTGGCACCTTGCTTTTTCACTTGACAATAAATTCCTAGAAAAGCAAGGATTTGACTTTGAAATTATGTAAACATTTCAAATATTCAAAAAGGAAATTATGTCAAAAAGACAAAGCTAACAAAGTCAAAAATAAAAAAGCTGAAATGAAAAAATACTTAATTATTTATCAAGTTGGTGATATAACCATACAAAAAAATCATTATACCACACAACTTTAGAATACAGTATTTTGACTAGTTATACCTACTACAATAAATTTTAGAGACAAATGGAGCTTCAAAGAAACCTTAAACCTTATCCAGTTGTCTTATAGCTAACAAACATATTAGTAATGTTATTTTAAAATTTTTATATGTCATAGAATAAAGCAAATAAGTACTTATGTTAAAAAAAAAAAAAAGGTGGATGGCTGTCTCATGCACCCAGGAATCTGAAAACGGTTTCCTTCTCCATCTTGGTACACAGAAGCCTTGGGCATTTGGCTGGTGGTCCCACATGGGACAGACTGGGTATGTCCACAGATTCTATTTAACTTGTGTACTTCCCTATTGTCGATTTCATCATAGGCAAACCAGCAACACCAAACAAGATAGTGTCGTGGCACTGCAATTTTCATTTTTAAGTTGACAAAGATAATGCATGCCTGTTGTAGAAAACTATATACCTTCAGAAAGGTGCAAAGACACCCAAAACCCTTCAGTGTCCCATCACTCAGAGACAACCACCCATCAACACGCAGACCTTTCATTACGTGCACCTGCTCACAGAAGTACCTGTTACTTTGCAGATAGATCATGCTATTGCACCACCTGTCTTTGTTCTTGCACTCAGTACCAAGTGCTCTTTCTGTGCCACTGAGCATATGTCTCCACCATCCTTTTCAACCATTTTGTCAGAATTTATTTAGCTATTCACATATAAATGGACATGTAAGTTATTTCCTATTTTTTTTGTCTTATCCACGATGCTGTGATGAATTACAGTGTGTAGTGACCCCCCGTTACCCACGGGTTTGCTTTTCGGGTTTTAGCTACTTGTGGTCAACCACAGTCTGGAAAATTGTCATGACTCGATGATCCCGGACCACCCAAAGCACATGATCCTCCTCTGACGTATCATCAGAAGGTCGGTAGCAGCCTAACGCTATGTCACGATGCCTGTGGCATTCACCTCACTTCATCTCACCACCTCGGCATTTTGTCATCTCACGTCATCACAGGAAGAAGGGCGAAAACAGTATAAGACATTTTGAGAAAGAAAGAGGTCACATTCACATGACTTTCGTTACAGTATATTGTTATAATTGTCCTATTTTGTATTATTGTGGTTAACCTCTTACTTTGCCTAATTTATAAATTAAACTTTGTCGTAGGTATGTTAGTACCTCATAGTACACTCAAGGTTCAGTACTATCCACAATTTTATGCATCCACTGGGGGTCTTAGACTATATCCCCTGCAGGTAAGGGGGACTACGGTACTTTTGCTCATTTGTCTAATTGTTACCCTAGGATAAATGGCTGGAGATAGAAGCACCAGCCTAAATAGTGTGTACACTTAAATTTTAGATAAACTTTCTCACACTGTGCCTGCAGAAAAGATGTACGAATTTACATTGACCCCCATGGTGCATGACACGACTTCTCTACAACCTGAAGTTAATCAATTCTCTTTAATTTTTAATTATTACCAATCCTCTGGGTAACAAATGATCTATTTTTATTTGCATTTTGGGGGGTTATTTGTGAAGTTTGGTATGTTTTTATGTTTATAGGACACTCACGTTTATTTTGTAAATTACCTGTCCTTATCCTTTGCAATTTTTCTATATTTCTTTTTCATATTAATTTATAGGCGCTTTTTTATATATTAGGTATACTGTTCCTTTGCCATGTACAAAGTTTTCACGTATTCTTCCTACCATGCCCAGTTTATTTCAATTTTCTATGTATTTATTATATTATGTATATTATTATATTACATATTACATATACCTATGTATATTACTATAATATGTGATATCATAATATAATAATTACAATTTTCGTTGTATTTATTATATGATAATAGAAAATATCAAGAACATTTGCCTATAATAAAATCTACACTAAGGAAGTACATGCAATAAATAGAATCTATGGACACAACCACTCTATCCATTATGGGACCACCAGCCAAATGCCCAAGGCTTCCATGTACTGAGGTAGAAAAGAAGGTCATATTCAGATCTCTGGAAGAGTGAAACAGCCCTAAACTCTATCATCTCCCTCTCTCTGGCCTCATGTTATCTACTCCTTCCCTAGGTAGATTACAAGTTTCCTGGTGACCTGACTTCCAGGAAGGAGCTGCTAGAGCCAATGACAGAAACTGTGCTCAGATGCAAGGCTACGTGATGAGTGACTAACCCAGCCTTAGGGGCGCATGTGGGGACGAACAAAGCTGTGCACTGCACAAATCCAGGAGGTGCCGTTCACATAGAAGTTGGTGCGAATAGTTCCTTCCCCCAAGGTGGGCAATGTGTCAGCCCTGCCTAAGGGTCACTAAGAAGCCCCATATGTGTGAGGAAGAGTCACTGGCACGTGGGTGACCACATGGACCCTTGGCTGCACCTCCACTAGTTCAGATAGGATGGACAAGGTGCCTCCCCCAAGACAGGGGCTGTGAGCCTCTGCTTCTCTGGAAGCAGCGTGATGGGGGCTTTCCTATCCAGTAGCCAGTTTGAGGATGGGGCCAAGGCTGGAGAGTCCCTGGAAGAAGTGGATCAGGGACCGTGACTAGCTGTGGGGACTGAGAAGAAGCTGTTCCTGCTGAGGCTTGAAGAACAAGCGATTTGAGGCAGAGCCTGCAGGCCCAGCATGCCGCCGCCGTGAGCCTCTTGCTCTCAGCCCCTGGTTGCTCGGAGATCCAGGGGTCAGCAGGAGCCCTGGAAGCATCCAGCCTCTCACCCCAATTAGGGAGCACGGAGGCCGGCCCTGGGGAGGAGGTGAAATCAGCCTTCATCCTCACAGGCTGCAGGGCCCGGCCCCTGGGACCCAGCAAAGAACCACCGCAGACCCCACCCTATTCCATCCCCACCCCCAAAGGCCCCCGAGCTGCCGCAGCTGGCCCCCGATCTCCCACAGCAAGCCTGCCGCCCAGATCTCAGCCGATAAACTGCACTGAGCTGCCTTCCAATAGCTACGGATGAACAAAATATTGCCCTGCTCCCAGTTACGTTAAAAGGGCTAGTAAAGAATAATGGCAAAGATGCTCGCAGCCAAAAGCCGCTCTTGATGGCCCTTTAAGCGAGATTTACAGCCGGCATTTAGCAGTGTCCCTGGAACGCTTGCTGGCACCGATCGGCGGGAAGCGTGTGCGTGGCGCCTCCCGGGCCCGCAGGCGAGGCCATCCCTCACTCTGGCAGCGCTGCCGGCCCCTGCCCTGCGCTGGCTCCCCAGGGCCCTGCCCGGGTCCATCAGGCCCCCGCCCAGGCCGCCCCCTCTCAGTCCCGGCGGTCAGGGGCCTCAGGACACAGCAAGCAGAGGGGCTGGGGAGGCCATGAGGTGTGCTGGGATCCGAGAAACCGAGGCAGGGATGGGTGGAAGCATAGAAGGCAGAGGTAGTGGGAGTCCCTGGAGAACAGAGGGGTCTGGCCATTGATTTATTCAACACATTCTTACTGAGCCCCTCTACGTGCCAGGCAAGCCAGGTAGGGAGTGCACAGAAGAAGCACGTTTGCCCCTTGCCCTTTTGAGAAACTTATTGTCTAGCGAGGAAGAGAAATAGGAAACTATCAATAATAATAAAATATGATATCTGCTCTGATAAGAGGAGCTCAAGGTGGGAGCAAATAAGTCCAAGCTTGGGGACATCCCTGAGAATGTAGAATGTGCCTAAGACATAAACCCGTGCTGTCCAATTGGTGGCCACTAGCCACATGTGGCCATTGAGCACCTAAAGTGTGGCTCATGCAAAGTAAAATGAGCTGCACGTGTAAAATGCACACCTAATTTCAAAGCCTTAATACAAAAAAAAAAAAAAAAGAATGCAACGTATCTCCTT